TTATTTTTTATTTTATTTTTTATTTTATTTTTTATTTTATTTTTTATTTTATTTTTTATTTTATTTTTTATTTTATTTTTTATTTTATTTTTTATATTTTTTTTATTTTTTTATTTTTTATATTTTTTTTATTTTTTATTCTATTTTTTATTTTTTTATTTTTTATATTTTTTTTATTTTTTATTCTATTTTTTATTTTTTTATTTTTTATATTTTTTTTATTTTTTTTATTTTTTATTTTATTTTATTTTTTTATTTTTTTATTTTTTATTTTTTATTTTATTTTTTTTATTTTTTATTTTTTATTTTATTTTTTTTTATTTTTTATTTTATTTATCTCAATTTTTTTTATCTTATTTTATTTTACAATTCTCTCTGCTTTTTAGGCTGTATTTTCGGAGCCAGGCTCAAGGTGAGACAGACCGGGAGCGGCTGCTGCTGGCCTTCCAAGTCAGCAGTGAAATAGCCAGTGGAAGGTTTCCTGTCAATAAGGAGCTGGCTCTGGAAATGGTGGCCCTGATGGCTCAGGTGAGCATGGCTGTGGGCAGAAACCCTCCCTTGAGCCCTCCAGGGAGTTCAGCTGCATACGGAGTGTCTCCCACTGAGCAGCTCTTGCTCATCAGAAGTGGCTATTTCTCATCAAACCAAGAGGTCCCATGGCAGACACTTTATACCAAGTTCTATATTAAAGAAGGGAAGGTGTGATGTTACAACACCTTCTGCTGTAGGAAAATTTGCCGTAGGGCTGCCTGTCGTTTCCTTCAGAAGAAAAATACTGTGCTAAGATTTAGGAGAATGCAGCTGGGCTAGAGTATCCCCAGCACTGCCCCCATTAGTGTCTGTGTGGAGATGAGAAAATATCTTTGTCATTTTGCAGTGGACATCAGTGTAGGAGTTAATGGGCTGTTCAGTTGCACTGTGACCTCCAAACTTTATAACATTCTCTTAGGTGGAATATGGTGATTTGGACCGACCAGTATCTTCAAGTCCTGTGGGAGCATCGCAATCCAAAATGCAGCATCTGCTCCATCAGGTCTTAGATAAATTCTATCCCAAACGCTATAAGCAAAACATTACTCCTGAGCAGCTCAGGTAAGACTAACTTTGTTCTCCTATAAATTGTTTTCAGTGCAAAGTCTTATACTTGGAATTTTATCTCTACATACTTTCAGAAGTGTCAAGGAGCCTTGTCAGTGTAATTTTAATCCAGAAGCCTGGAGCAGGGAGGGAAGTGGAAAGTCTCAGGAGATGGTTCCTTTGCAAGGAAGCTTCTAGACTAGAAGCTTTATGTCTTTCTGATTAATTTTGTTTCTGAACTTTTGCTCTACCATACCCCCAAGCTTTAATGAAATCCAGATGCCTGTCACTTGCAACAAACCATGAAGCCAGCATCTATGGGCTGCTACAGGCTGTGCAGTAATTCTGATGGGACATATTCTAGCAGGGCGCTCTGAAGTTCAGGCTTTGAAATGCTTGTGCATGACACACAGACCTGAACTGCTCATGAACAGAATTCAGACATTGCCATGGATCTCGGCTGGTAATCTCCCAGGGCCCAAGTTGCCCAGGGATGCAGTGGTAAAACTAACACAGTTCCCTCTGGGAAGCAAGTGGCTTCCATGTGCACGTGGCAGGATAGTTCCCCATCAACCCATCCCTAGCAGGCCAAATCAAGAGAGAGTTGATGGGTATCGCTGCTCCACAGGGCTCATACTTGTCAAGAGAAATTGTTAAAAGTTGATAAGAGAAAGGGAAGTGTAACTGAATAGGAGCTGTGCAAGCTTTTATTGCAACAGCTATTTGAAAGCAGTCACAGTTGTTAAACATCTACACCACTGAGCAACTGGTATGTGACTGGGATTCCTGGGCATTGCAATGTAAATAACAGTAAAATAACTGTGGATGTATTGAAACTGCTAAAGTAATTTCAAGCTTTTTAAAAACAAAACAACAAAAAACCTTATTTACTGACAGTACCACCGGCCTTCCACGTAGAGCTATGTAGAACAGTCCTTTGGAGTGGAAGGTACACTTATAATCTGATACAATTTTACTTACTTCGAAAGACATCAGTAAGTGGTGCTGTCTTGTGTCTCGGGTTTGCAAGGCAAGTGACCGACAGGTTGGCGGCCAAGTGGATGATGCTGCAGGGATGCTCTCCCCCCGAATGCGTCCGGATTTATTTGACCGTGGCCCGGAAGTGGCCTCTCTTTGGAACCAAAATGTTTGCTGCTAAGGTAACTGGAACACGCTTTCCTCCTTGCTTGAGACTGGGTTTTCCCAGCAGAGCCACATTTGTGATCTCGGGTAGAACAGGCTGGAAATGCTCCTACTTCAGCCAGGGGGAAAACTGAACTACGCAGCTCTGGATCAGCTCTGCTTGGTTACCCTGCAGGTTTGGGAGGAGCAGCACTGTGCTCTGGGCACTAGGGGCTGCTCGCGTTCTGTAGTAAGTGCTGAAACTTTCTCCTGGGCTGCAGCAGTTCATCACACACCACCTCTCCTTATCACACCTTGCCAAAGCTTTTACAGCCGTCAAGACTGATAGTTTAGATGGTTCTAAAAGTATTGACATAGCACTAGGAGAAGAAGGGCAGAGTGCCTTGCAGCTAATGCTAGGTGAAGAGAAGGGACCACCCTTGAGAGCTGTGCTCAGCCTGGCACAGAGCCAGCGCTTCTCTGCTGTATGAGAAGGGCAAGCGCTGCCGCTGTCCTGGTGCTCTCTTCCTGGTGCCCTTCCCACATTAACGTTTTGCACATAGTGGTCTGCCTGAGAAATCTTGCTCTCGGATTAAGTATCTTTCCCAATGAAACAGGAGCCTCCCCCACTGGGAAGAGGTCATGGTTACATATCCCTTGCTTTGAAGTCAAAGCTCTTAGTTATGGAATAAATTCTAAGGATAAAAGGGGTGTCTTGTGTAAATGTGCAAGAAGCTTCCTAAAAGCCCAGGCAGCAGAGGGACTTCTCGTCGACTTCGTGGCTGTCAGCAAAAAAAAAAAAAAAAAAAAGCAGAAGAGGGTATTGGTATTTGAGGGCACTGACACTGAATCGAAATACAAGAGCAGTTACATACAGAGCTGAAATCACAGGGATAGTTCTGATGACTACCCTGTTTTATATCTTTTCAGTAGTTAAACTATGGCATAGGCCACATAACAACAGGAAAGGTTCATGTCACTAGACATAGCAAGACATAAGTTTTATATAGGGTTCTCTCTCTACTTGATCCTTAAAACTTAAGAATTATGTTAGAAACCTCTGTGGCATTCAAGAAAGGCCTAAATATCTATATTTTTAAATTTACTTAGCCTATTTTGCCTTCTTCCTTGGAAGACTGTCCAGTCTGGATTGCTGTGAATGAAGATGGTATCAGCATACTGGATTATAACAGCATGGTGAGGAACAATGTTATTTTTAAAACATATTTCCCTGGGTCTTAAAGTCAATAGAAGATTGTCTTAAACTTCTGGCTGCATCTGAAGTTAATCTGTAGAAGCTCGAGGTGAGGGAAGGTAGGGGCTGTGTTTGAGCACTGCATAAACAGAGGAAAATTACAGCTACACTGGAAGGCTTCCTGAGACAGCTGGCTTGATGGGCAGCAGACACGCTCCAGCATCCTGTAAAAAATGCACATTCCATGTGAGATTTCTCTGCCAGCTGTTAACTGTACAGACAGTTCTTGACTCAAGTTCTGCCCCCTTCACAGGGGCAGGACTGCAGAGCTGGTGTTCTTGCAGTAACGAGCAACTGCAACACTTTGAGGTGGGTGTATTTCCTTGGTGGAGGTGATTCTTTTGCGGGAGTGTAACTGCAACTCTTTGTCTGCAGCACTTGAAGCTCTCATATTCATACTCCTCTGTGCTGACCTTTGGGGGCTGCCGAGATGACTTCATGATTGTAGCCAGTCAAACGAAAGAAAGGAGCTCTGGAAAACACAGCACTGAAAAACTCCTTTTCACAATGGCAATTCCAAAGGTAAATAGAAACAGCGAGAGAGTTTCCACCTAGCAGTATCACAGCCGGGCATTTTGTACCACAAGCACTGGCAAATGGTTCTTCTGGTTGCTGCTCTTATACTCTTGAATACACATTCAGGGAATCTCTTGTAAGCTGGAACCTTTAACGAGTAACCTATTCTACCCAACTCAAAGACAGGTCTTAACTTAAAATCTTCATATGAGACAAGATTGTCTGCAAAAGTTCTGCAGCCAATAGGGATTTAAAAAAAAAAAAAGAAGAAAATGAAAGGGCACTTTCTCCTCTAATTGACTTACAGTTAATCATTTTCTTTTTTTCTTTTTCCCTAGATTGTTGAAGCAACACTTCTTATTGCCAGCTATATTAACTACCGTTCAGCAGCCTCTCCCTCATCCTCCGCACAGCCCTCCCAAAGTGCCACCCCTGCGCCCAGGTTCTGGGAGCCTGAAAGTCGGCGCTTGTACCCTTCTGTGCCTCGGAGCACTAAGGGGCCCACCCTGCTCTGAGGGCTCCTTCCAAATGATTTTGGGTGCTTTTTTTTTTTTGTTGGGTTTTTTGGTCTTTTTGCACTGCTCTGTACTGAATTAGACTGCTGTGATTTTGCTGATTACCCACCTTGTTTTAATACAGGCTCTAATTCTTTTTCTGTAATCATACATGAAATTCCTTAGTGTGGGTAAAGGCAGGGTCCATTCTTTCCAAAAAGCTTGACTTTGGAGCTCTGCGGGAGTTTCCTTCCCCTGCCACACTCCATCCAACGCACCATGGCTGGAATCACTTCCCCGCACTGTGCTCCAATCACATTACATTCCCCATATCTCAGTCCTTCCACCTGTTTTTTCTTCCATCTCCCTTTCTTTCAAGCACTCGTGTTTTCTTTGATGCCTCCCTTTTACAGCTTTGTACCCCCTCTAGAGCACTGCAGAACCTATGGCTGGAACCTCACACCAACTCTGCAGCTCCCACTGGCCTCTCCAGCTCATCGCATCCCCTTTCAGTTATTTGCATTATTTCTTGGAGTGTTCTGTAAATATCGATGATTAAGTTACCTGCTCTTTACTTGAATTAGACTGTAACCTCTGCAGGGTAAGTTTGACTTGTGTCTATGACTTGGACTTGACCGCAGTGAGCTAAATCCACGGCCCTGGTGGAGAGGGCCAGGGCGGCCTGTGGCTGACCCTGCACAGGGATGCGCGCTGCTGCGCGGGGTCGCCGCATCACAGACCAGGTGCACCCTGAAAACGGCAAGTACCAGCGTGTAAAGATCAACACTACATGGTTTGATTAGGTAGTTCAGGCCTAACTTCAGCTCTGTGCGCTGGTTGTTGAGAGGCATCAGGCCAAAGTTTTCAGGACTGCTCAGATTCACTGCTGTCACTTCCAAAATAGAGACAGTCTTTTTACCAACACCTACAATAGTTGTGTGTATTTATGCAACAGTTCAGCACCACCAAGACGACAATTTAGAATTTCCTTAGAGCTCTTTTCCTCCCCCAAGCTGGTGCCCAAATTCAAAGGCCTGGATTCTTTCTTAGTCCTTGCTCCAGACATGAACGAAAGGACGAACAAGCTCTCCTGAGGGAAGAGGACCTAAATTGACAAGAACCACCTTGGTTTGAGTCGAGAATTATTTGAAAACTGAAAGAGAGTCTGGAACAAGAGTCTAGTGGTACTTGAGAATAATTTCCACCTTACTTAAAGTTAGGTTTCCACCTTTACTTGGTGCATCCTGAGGACTGGCACAGGGTGAGATGGTGCCCCGGCTCCTGTAGCGCCGATGCATTTTGGGAGGCAACGCTGTTCGGGATGGATGAAGACTGGATCTCTGCTGCTGTGGGGCGGAGTGCCCCGGAGCCCAGCAGCAGACAAGCACTTTCAAAGACTTGTTCTGTTAATCACTGTTGTGCTTCGAGCTGTTTCAGACTGCACCTGATCTCAGACAAAGGAAGGCAAGGCAGGCAACGTTTGTGCGTCTTGTTTTCCAGCAACGGGCACAGGTAGCCCCTGCCCAAACACCACCCAGCTCTGCCAGCCTCTGTCCTCCAAAGTTGCTCCTTTTAAACTCCTGCTTCCTTCGTGCTGCACAAGCAAGGAGGAGGTAGTCAGCACCTGTCTGTCCATGTACTGTCCTTCCCTTTCCCAAAACTTTTGAGCCCTTGTCTCTTTGAAGGAAGCCTAATGCATTTTAAACAATTAAAAAGAAAAGTAGCCCTTCTTCAACATCTATCTGGCTTGAGCTCTACTCTTTTCACAAGCATTCTGAAAATTGAGGGAAGAGAAAAGTGCAATTTTTAAGAACTTCATACAAATTTTGTATTCATGGGAAACTTCCACGTGAAAACAGTGTGAATCCAACCATGATAAAGAATTCAACAATAGCAAACTAAAGTCATGCCCAAATGAACAAACCAACCATACCCGTGTGTTTATTTGCTCATCCTTGCCAGCAGCCCCAAAATACCTTACTCGTGCTGATGCTTCAGAAAGTTTCTGTTAAAGGTTGAGTACATAATGTTGCATAGGGGTGCATAAATTAAGAGAGATGAGGATGGGACAGGCACAAACATTTTGTATAATTCTGATCACTCTCTTGTCAGCTTCTTTATAACATACAAAACAATACAACTGGGGGGAAAAAAGGTTGGGTTAAGGGAAACACTATAACGGCCCTAACTCAGGGAAGGTTTACATAAGTGGAGACCAGATTTGCACATATTGCATTCTGTCCCCTCATCATGAATTTAAGGAGCATTCCTTCAAGCTTTCTTGTAAAGGGCAGAAGTTTTCTAGGCCAAAAACCACCCACAGTTTTGAGAAGGCTGATGATACAGGTGTGAATAGCATAGTTTCCCACTCTCACACATACCCCTTCTCTCTTAATGATCTTAGGACCGATGTTGAGCTTGAATAAGGCGAGCCTTATTTCTGCTCACATGGTCTCTCCTGCAGCAAACAGCTCCTGGGGCTGCTGCTGTCTGTCTGTGGCACGAAGCTGGCTCAGAACGAGCTGACGTTGCTGCTGAGGATGCTCGGCAGCAAAGTCTCCGTTCCGCCCTTGTGAGGTTGCACTTCCCTCCCAGCACTAACACTCCTCTCGGAGCACAGAGGAAGCAGGCGCGTTGGGTGCGCAGGAGCTGTCACGAGCTGGGTACGTTCTGACATAACTGCACTTTAAATACACAAGCGTGGCATATGAATTCCTTCTGCCTCTCTATTTCTTAGAAATATTCACCAATACTTGAGTACTTCAGGGACCAACCCACTTTGCTAGGTGCACATATACCTCCTGTTTATAGCCTACCTGTCTTCAAAAATAAAACTCTGTAGATACATATTTTGTATGATTGGTAGAGAAAATTTTGATTTTAATCAATGCTTTAGGCAATGACTGGACTATTTCTAAAGTGTAGAATGTGACGACAAATGCCTTTGTTTTCCTAACTGCTGTGTGTGTGCAAAAGGCTGGCTGGGATTTATGTGAGATTTATGTTTGTTCTTAATAAATGGCAGTTATCATGGCTGAAGCTGTGTTTATTCTTAGCCTGAAACACGTTATTACCTTACAAGCCAGAATGGCCCTGAGGATCTTTGCGCAGAGAGAGGTGCTTTGGTAGCCAGGGGGGCAGACGTGCCCTTGCCTGACTCCTCCTTTCTCTCCGCTGGTGTTGGCGTGTGGCGGGAGGGCGCGGGCGCCTCCGAGCGCGGCGCCTTCGCCCCTTCCCTGCCCCGAGGAAGCCTGCGCCTCCACGGGTGGCAGAGAGCCCCGCTGGCCTCCCCAGCACCCAGCACCGTCGTCGGAAGCGTTTGCGTGTAACCCAGACACGATCACACAGACGAGGGGTACACCCCCAAGCTCCTGCCTTTCCCTCCGACACAAGAATACGCTTCTTTCTGTGATAAGCTTTGTCTTTAAATCTTCACGAAGCAGTCCAAACCTCACCTATCTCTGCAGTATTGCATGATGAGGCACAAACGGTGTTACTTGTAGCTTGTGTAGCCTGCACCTGTCATAGAGCACTGTATAGAAATGCAGCGTAACCCTCAGGCTCCTGCCAGCTTGCTGGTGCTGAAGATGTTCTGAATTGCCCCAGTTGTACTGCAGTGTGGGGGAAAAAGGGGAGAGAAAGATGTGATGTAAAGTTACCATAACTTTCAGATTATCAGTAAGGAAAATCATTCTCAACAAGTTGTCCCCTAGAATATATGTCAATATAGTTTTATTCATACAGTCATTGTCACCATCTTAAACAACACAGGTACTCACAGGCCTTGGGCAATTAATGAACAATAGATGTTTTAGCAAATGTAATTGAATGCTACAGCTTGATTTGGTTTTCTGTTGATTTCTTTCTGAAATCCCCCTGTTAATCAGAGGAAGCTACCACCCTAGGCCTTCCCTCAGCTTGCATCTTCTAGAGTAGTATATTCTTCTTTTCAAACAAAAGGTTAAGAAGAAACTCATAAAACTGCACATTTTTGGCAGGCTGCTCAAGGTTACATTGTGTTATTTATCGGAGTTCTCAGACTCACTAAAAAACACCCATTCAATGCATGTTTAGGACCCCTCCCTTAATTCTTGCTTGGAGAGGCCTTTTCTGGAAAGGCTTTTTCTGTTTAAAAAGTTCTACTCACTTGTCTTCCCAGCAATCCATTCTGTGATATCTAAGAGCAAGGGGCGACCGTGCGCTCGAGATGACATTTTCATTATCAGCTCTGAGTCTGTGCAGGCCTTCAGCCTTAACATCATTCTGCTGCAGCGCTGCATCCTTCTCATTAATTTAAAAGCAAACACCACAGGTCAGCTTTGCTTCGTTTTCTACACGTGTCTCCAAATTCTGCTGCACGTTTTCTATCTTCTTTTTTATTTTATTTCACTTGACTGTGGAGCCGTCTCCCGCTGCTGCAGGATTTCTTGGCAGCTTTTGTACACTTCGATCAAGCAGTCCAGACGTGGCTTGGAACTCTGGAATGCAAGTCAAGCAACGGAGAATCAGGCCGTGAACGGGCTGCAGAGGCCCTGGAAAGCTTTAGCTTCCCCCAGGTGGGGTCTGTTGGGCAGAGACAGGAATGTGCAGAGCGCTGACAGGGCTGACTGTCAAAAGCAGGCACGCAGAAGGAATGCAGCAGCCAGGCAGCTGTAGCTGATTAGCTTTATTGTCCCAACTGAGTCAACAGAGAATTTCCTTTCATACGTTCCCTGAGAAGTAGCCCAGCAAACTCCAGGAGATGTTTGATGTAGCCTGGAGGTGAAGGCAAAGCCACTATACAAGCTATACCTGCTCTGTGAGGGAAAAGGCTGGGCCCTAAACACGCAGCACCATTTGGCATTTAGCGTAAGTCACTCAACAAATGACAAATCCTCCCCTTTCTGTGCTCACAATGAGAACACGACAAAGAAATCCCCATCTTCCAATCCATTATCCTATGATTAGACTGTACTACCTCTATTCACCTACCAAAGAGCACATTTCCACATACTACTGCACCATCCTTCCATCCTCATGACCACCATGACTTCCACCCACAAAAATCTACCTTCAGAGCAGGGAGTTTGGACTCCTGGCCCTTGGCCTCTGCTAATACCGTCAACAAGAGGACAACAGAAGATTAACTGAACACATCAATTCACTTCACGCAAACGGAATAGTGGTCAAAGTGTAATGACTTTCCATCTCTTCTGACCTGGACCAGATCAAAACCAGCAAAGAGGTGAAAGTTGCCCCATCCCATGTTCAAACGCCTCCCCTTGCAAATGTTACTTAAAAGAACAAGAGGTCGATTCAGCAGAAGGGGTCCTGGGCTCAGTGACACGGTAAATGGTGTTTCTGAAGGCTAACATAACTTCGGAAGACTAACAAAGGCCCAATGAATAAGTTGCAACAGAGTTACTAATTACTGCTCCCTCAAAACTAAGTAACATACTAAGTTGCACTTTAAAAGTGAGAATTACTGGCAGGTAATGAATTTCAGATTGAGGCAGCTCCTTCCACGCCTCCTTTGCTGGTCAAATCTACCAATATCAAGATATACCCATGGAAGTCCATGGAAGGCATACATTGTTCAGAGTTGAGCAGGAAGAAAATGAATAAATACATAAATAAATATGTCAGGCAGCCCCTATGAAGCTGCCAAGGAGCTTGTATAGCTAAAAGAAGGTTCCTGAGTGCAGCTGTCTGTAATCTATTAGTTGTAGACTTCACCAAATCTGTTTTTCTCCCTTAACTATTTCATTTATATTGTTATTATGAAATGCCTTTAGGACTGTGGGACTGAATCGACAGTAAATATCAATCATCAGTAAATTTGTACCTGAAAATGTTAAGTATCTTAAGGCTAAATCTGGTCTTAAATTACGTGCAGACTTCAAGCTGCTATTCAGCAGCAGCAAGGGAATACAGAAGAGCAGAGAGAACCGCAAACAGTATCTGCTGTCTAAGATGCGAGGTGCATCTGGATGGCTTGCTTGCCATCACCATGGATCAACATGGTGCTGTGTTATCCAATCTTAGGCAGAAAGAAACCCGCATCCCAAAGATGGGATTATGAACAGTCAGAACAGATTAGTGGAAGACAAGAAAGGGGAGAGAGGGTAACACAACAAACAAGTTATTATACATTAAGCAAATCTTTCACAGCTTGTACTGTGATCTTTGTCAATGAGTGAGAAATAGGAACTCGCTCTAATGCCAAGGAAGTTTCCATGAGCCCTTTTGACACACTGACAGACAAAAATCAACTACAGTACAGTGCTGTAGTTCTAGTGGTAGCACAGAGTGTGAAACTACACACAGAAAGCTGTACGAGTCCTTATTCTCTTACATAAGCCAAAGCTTTTGGTTGGGTTCAGGTTTCCACAGCTCCCTATTCCTTGAATGCAGGACAGATGAAATCCCACATCCGCAGCACTGAGTTCTGTGAGACCTCTGGCCTCACCTGCTGCAAAGTGCCGTTAAGAACCAATCTGAAGGCTCAGCCGGGAAGAATAAACACAGTTGTAATTCAGCTGCTTGTAGTGGAAAAAACCCAAACAAACTACATCCAGATATCTGGTACATATGCATATCAAATTTGGTTTCTCCACGATTCAGTCAGACTCACCTGAAAGAGTGGCACAACCTCAGACACTCCCTGAGGATCCTGAGGGTCCCGGATAAGGATGCACAGGTAGTAGATAATTTTTTGCTAAAAGACAAAAAGGCAAAACCGGCAAAGTCTGAGAATTCTGTCAGAGAGCATGTGGTGATTGAAGAAAGAGGACCCGTTTTAACTAAATTGGCCTGTGGGAAGCATTTGACATATTCTAAACATAAATCAGTAGAAACTGCAGTGTTTTAATAGAGCAAACAAGGTATTTTTACTAGAAAATTACGCATAAAAAAGCTTAAAATCATTCTGTTACTCCTGTTTGTGTAATAGTTAATGTGTTGAGTAACAAACTCTTGTTTGTGTTATACTAAATATACTATTTCAGCCAAAGGAGTTTGCTATCGGAAAGATACCAATGAATTTTATCTACAATCAAAATATTTTAATGTGCAGGACTGCCTTTCTCTCACAGATTGACTGTTGTCCGAAATTATCTTCAGAAAGAGCACATTTCTTCTAGAGAAGCCTTTGGGACTATGGCTCCAGGCTCTGACAGATCAGCTCTGGTGGGTTTATGAGTGCCATAAACTTCTTCAGTCTTTCTGCTGGGAGCTGCTGACTCTCCCTCCCCCAGCAGCATATGCAGCAATGTATAGGAGAGCAATGCATATGTGGTCTCCTGACCCCAGGCCACAGTCAAATACATACATTTTCACTGCACTTTTTACTGCACAGCCAAATACATAATTTTTTCGTCCTTCACTCAACAAGAAGAGTCAGCTAGGCCAGTCCCATGAAAACAGACTGCAGTTACATGGGAAGAAAGCCCGTGCACAATTACCATGTGGATGGCTTCGTTGATGACTACATCCTTCACCTGACTCATCTCGATGAAGGTTGTGCTCTCCTTGCCTGAGGCGTAGGACGAAGTCACCTGAATGCCCAGGGAGCCGATGATGAGCAGAGACTCCTGGTCAACCTTCACGAAGTGCAGATACACGATGAGGCCGATCAGCGTGATGAAGATGGCAGCAGAAAGCACCATGCTGTTCTGTAACACAAACCAAGCAAAGACAGAGCTCCAGGCTTACAACTAAGTGAACATGGCTTTACACGAAGCAGTGTTGCAGAGTAAACCACTACATTAAGGCCACAGTTGTGTGGCAGCTTTAAGCAGGTGCAGTCCTCTATACAGGCAGGGCATTCACTGGGCTGGCTGATGAGATTTCAGTTACCAAACATGAGTCTCCATAGTATAATCTCTGAAACAACAGGGAGCTGAAACTGAATTACGCAGCAGAACCTCTCCACTTTCAAATTTAGTGTGGAAAACTCAATCCAAACCAATAAGGAATGTCAGAGGAGACAACATGTCATGCAAGTGTCTGTAGAGGAGATGTCAATCTAACAGAGCAGTCTTCTGAAATGCTTACTAGAGCTATTTCAGCAAAAGCACCAAAGTAGGAGTTAGGAGATTCAAGCTTTCTCATAAACTGTGAGTCTGAACTTGTTCCAACCTCATCTCCCTCTCACAGAAGGTCTCCTTTCTCCTGAGCTGCGCCCCAGAACCAACGTATTCTGCATGCCGCGACTTGGGCTTGCCGGCTGTTGCATAAAAGTTATGAGTTAACACATAACTCGTGAAAACTACAGCCAACAGCAAGTCACCCGAAGACATGGCAGCGCCTTCCAAGCATTCTCAGCCCACAAACTATTTCTGGAACTAAAACCTCTGAAAGCGCCAGAGTCGCATGGTCCTCCTCCCGCTCAAGAGCGGAAGTGCCACCGCGCCCGGCACCCAAGCCCTGGCAACATTTGAGGGGAAGGGAGAGTGGGCTCCTCCAAATCAGGGTGCAATCAGTGCCGAGTTACTGTGCTCGGCCCCAGGGAGGCTGAAGACATTCACGCCCGCTTTCCTGGCAGGAGAGGATGGCTGTAGCCAGTTAGGCACTGGCTTAAGGGCTAAGCAGGGGCCTGAACCAGGTGGAGAGGCGACTGCTGGTGGGCAGCAGTGGGACAAGAGGGACCCTGGGTAGCCCCTGGGGGCCTCTGTCTGCACCGACCACAGCGGTGCGGCCAGTGCCAGGCAGGCCAGGCCGATCGGGGCGCGGGCAGCTCCCCGCCGGCCCTGCCGCCGGTCTCGCGGGCAGCCGCGGCCTCCCCGCGCGCGCCCCCGCTACCTCGCAGAGCACGAAGAGCCCGTAGGCCGCGAGCCACACGGCGGAGGTGAGCGTGCTGAGCGCGCGCAGCTGCAGGCGCGGCGCGCGCACCGCCAGCTCCCGGCAGGAGGCGCTGTGGTGGCGGCGCCGCAGCGCCAGGGGCGCCCCGCTCACGGCGCGGAACCGCC